GGCCCTGTGAGCCCAGAGAGGATTGGAAAGAGGAAGTGGGCTGAGAGAGACAGTGGGAGGGTCAGGGGAGGGCAGTAATGTGAAGAGAAACAGCAATGAGTGAAATGTGTTGTTCCCTGTCCAGCACCTGGGGAAGCTGGCACGGAGTCTGGGTGAGTCCCGGGAAGACGCCAGGCAGGAAGTCAGGGCCTGCTGAGGGGTCAACCAGAACCTCGGCCTGGCATGCTCTCGGACGGGAGGCTGGTTTAGCTCTCAGAACACACTAAAACCTCTGCTCCGTCTCTTCGCAGAGCTGCGGATAAAAGCCAGCTTCGTTGCACCCCTGGAAAAGTCATATGGGACCAGGCCCAGAGTCCTGACCGGCAACTCTCGCTTGGACCTTCAGGAGATTAACAACTGGGTGCAGGCCCAGATGAAAGGGAAAATCGCTAGGTCCACGAGGGAAATACCCAGTGGAATCAGCATTCTCCTCCTTGGTGTGGCTTACTTCAAGGGTGAGGGCTTCTCCACTTCTTTTTTGGCCAAAGGTGGATGGTGGGTGTCAGATGGGGCTGGAAAAGCAGGGAGCCACAGGAGGCAGAGGAGGACCCAGGAAAGGCACCTGCCTGAGGGCCGTCTGCTTGTCACCAAACCCAAGGCAAACACTGGGTATACAGGACTTGAATAAACCAAAAGTCAAAACAACAAGTAGGCACTGGGTAAGTGCCTACAAAGTGTAAGGGGCTGTTGAGAAAGACTAGCACAGATAAGGGAGCACTCCCACCCGTGTGCCTGTTGGGGGCGGCACTGATAGGTTTCTGGCTGGAAACCCTGACCAGGGTCAAGGCCCCGCCCCATGTGTACCGGCTGGAGAGCCTGCACAAACTTATAGCCTTTCTAGGCCTGTTTCTCACCTCTAACTCGGGGATGACACACTGACCTTAGGGTCACCTGTGTCGCCTCCCATTTGCACACGGACCCGAGCACTGTGCCCAGAACACAGCAGGTACTCGATAAAACCATTGTCAGTTCTCTTAACACCATTCTTCTAGGCTGTGGTCATGTGCCCAAGACTATCCCATTGCCCAGCATGAGGCCAGCCCTGCTCCTATAGGCCTTGGGTGGGATTTTGGGCAACCTCCCATTAAAATGCTTTATAACTGTCTATCAGGCAGTTGCGAGTGGACCCCTAAACTCCTACAGAAAAGCCCTACCTGAAGCACTGACCAGTTATAGATCAGAATGTTAACGGCCACGTCAAACTATGAGAGCTCGGTCATCACCTCGCTGTGTGAGCACTGGACAAGTCACTTCCCTTCTCTGGGCTTCTGTACTTTTTAGCTATGAGAAGGTTGATGACACGATGTTGAGGTCCCTTCCAGCCCTGGACTCCTTGGATTCTGTCTTGTGGACACATCACTGTAGAATTGTACACCAGTTTACCTTTCTCCTAGGCTACACAGGACTTGAATAAAATTAACAGTCAAAGAAATAAAATCAACCTAATTCTTTCTGAGTTTACATATGGAAGGTATGCAGGACCCTAGAAATACTGTTGTCCAGACTGCATATTCTGAGACGGAGCTATTCCTGATGTGTCAGGGCCTCTGATGACTGAGATTTCTTTAGCCACACAATTTTCAGCAATATGCTTCGGTCTCAGCACAGTCCCAATACCTTTCTGGCCTCCTGGGGCTCAGGGCACTTCATTTGTTTCATTCCAGGGCAGTGGGTAACAAAGTTTGACTCCAGAAAGACCTCCCTTGAGGATTTCCACTTGGATGAGGAGAGGACCGTGAAAGTCCCCATGATGTCAGACCCTAAGGCCATTTTACGATACGGCTTGGATTCTGACCTCAACTGCAAGGTCTGTAGGGGCAGTGTGAGCGGTGGGTAGGGGGACAGGCAGAATGATGTAACTGAAATAGAATGACAGCTGTCTAAATTTTACCTGCTATGTGACCTTCAGCAATTTAACAGCTTCTCTGAGACTTTCTTCTTAAAATGAAGGGGTGTAGTTATTGAAACTTATCCTCTTAGGGTTTGCTGTAAGGGTTAATAAGGTAATGTGAATTGGGCACTCAGATGCTGGTGTTTTCTAGTCTTTTCTTTCCTTTCTTTTCTTTCTTTTTTTGGGAGAACTTGTATTTCTAGAATTCAAAGCCAACCTTGCAAAAACTGTCACAAACTCCAAATTTCTGGCATTCTAACTCTTTCACATATACTTGACATTTGAAAACTCAAAAGTCAGTAGTTCTTAACCTTCTTCCCTGGGTATCTGACAAAACGCCTGAAGCACTGAGAGAAATGCCACTTAAGCATTTCTGTAGATGGTTTCGGGCTGCTGGGTCCCCTGTTGCCATCTGTCCTATGGAGGTTGAGGACCTCTGCTCTAAGGACCACTGTGTTGCTGCTTCTCTGTTGCTGTGCCCAACGCCCTCATTTCTAGTCCAGGGCCCTGTATGTAACAGATGATCAGCAACCTGGCAGACAAATCTTGGGAGAAAACATAGATCTGGAATTCAAGTCTAGCTGTTTAGAACCAAGGGAGAAAATTCTTTCAGCAGATAACTTCAGTTGGAATTAGGCCAAGGCAAGAAAAGACGGCCTCCTTTCTGAAGAAATAGCAGGAGACATCTTGCTGCCAGAAAGCAACAGCTTGGAGGGACAAGATTACCCAGTTACACAGATGAGGGGCGGGGGAAAGCATGGCAGGGCCTGGGCACTGGAGAGGAGAAGGGGTGGGTGTCTATCCTTAGGCTCCTGGGCTCCAAAGGACTAACCTGTGTGCTTCCTCCCCCGTTTCAGATTGCCCAGCTGCCCTTGACCGGAAGCGTAAGTGTCATCTTCTTCCTTCCTCTGAAAGTGACCCAGAACTTGACCATGATAGAAGAGAGCCTCACCTCTGAGTTCATTCATGACATAGACCGAGAACTGAAGACTGTCCAAGCGGTCCTGACCATCCCCAAGCTGAAGCTGAGTTATGAAGGAGAACTCACAAAGTCCGTGCAGGAGCTGAGTACGTCTGCAAGATCTTTTTGCTCTTGGGGTGGGGGTGGGGTTGAGTCTTCGAGCCTTCCACCTTGCTGAGCCTTGTAGGGAAGCCATGGATGATTCCTTAATTCTGATAATTCTAACAGTGCTGGAGGGGAAGACGGAACTGCCTTATCAGACTCATTCCTCAGCCCCAGGAGCATACATCCTATAACAGGAACTCAGAACGCTGTCTCTCAAGATAGTTTGGCCTGGTTTCTAATCTTAACCTCACTTGCTGTGTGCTCTTGGGCAAGTTGCTTAACCCTTAACCAGCCCAGAGCTCTACGTACCTCACAGACGGTCAAAGGTGGTGTTCCACTTCCAGCTTGCTTGCCTTCTTAAGAATCAGGATTGTATTCTCCCTTGGGGTGTTGATGAGGCAAGGTTTTAATGGAAATTTCTCTCAATCTCTGCAGAGCTACAATCCTTGTTTGATTCACCAGACTTTAGTAAGATCACGGGCAAACCTATCAAACTTACTCATGTGGAACATCGCACCGGCTTCGAGTGGAATGAAGATGGGGCGGGGACCACCTCCAGCCCAGGGCTCCAGTCTGCCCGCCTCACATTCTCCCTGGACTATCACCTTAACCAACCTTTCATCTTTGTACTGAGGGACACAGACACAGGGGCTCTTCTCTTCATAGGCAAAATTCTGGACCCCAGGAGCACTTAATGCTTCACTTTAATGTTCAAATACCCTAGAAGAAGGAAAACTCGAGAGGGATGGCAGGTTATACATTACATGAAGGCTGCCCCTAAGTTTCAATGTATACTTTGCAATAAAAGTGCTTTATCCTTAACTTTTGTTACTCTGTTTCTCCTCCTGTTTTGAGTTACATTAAGTTTACTATGAAGATAAATAACCCTTTAGGAATTTGCTGGTCCTGTACTTATAGCCTGAGTCTATCTAATTTCTGCACAAAGTCACCACGTATAAAAACTTAGTTATCTAAGTTGTATAATATTGGGACTGATTTTTTTTTTTGCTCTGTGGGTGTTTACATACTAGGACCACTAATCTACCCCGCCCCCAAGGGATTTCCTGCCCTCACAGTCAGTGGAGCATGCTCTTAAACACATCAGACTTTAGGTTTTAATGCAAGCACAGATATCCCCAGTCAAGCTGATGTCACCTGACACAGGATAACACGTGGACAGATAAGGGAGGAAATCTGTAACTTCAGGAAATAATTATTTTGTAAAACATTTAAAGAAAGTTCTCAAGTCGACATAAAATGAGGTCTGATACGTGAAGTTCTGCACATATTCTTTTTTAAGGAAGTGGGCCTATTTTACAAAGTACGACAGAACCTTTTTCAGGAACATGAAACATGCCAAGTGTTCAGAACAGAACTACAGAATTGGCTGCAGGACTAAATTTTTCTTCTTGAAATTTGAGTTAGTTCTACCAAAACATCTCACCGGCCAGTGCCCTTGCCACAGTGAGTTAGTAGAAAGGAAGATGAATGAGATTCTGCCTGCCCTTCATTCAAATGTTTGAGTGTCAACCGTGTTCCAAACACTCAGCTTCCTGTAAAGCTCTTGCCAGGCAGCTTCAGGCTATTCAGTTCCTGATTATAATGCAGTGGCAACCACTGGGCACCTTTTGGGCAAGGCCAGGGTGGGCAAGTGGTCAAAGCACTGTGGGCCTGCTACTCTCCACGAATGCATCTGAACCACTTGGTCAGCAGCGGTGACAGAGCAACCAGGGTTCAGACCCAGAGCGTCTCCCAGCCTTCTGACCAGGACGGACTAACCCTAACCCTAAACATCCAGGTAGATGACAGCTATCATTCCTACCTTCTGTCTCTTAAGTTTGAAACCACAAGCAGCAATGCTCATACCCTCAGCATCTTCTGAAGTTGCTTTCCCCCCCCCCTTCTTAGTACTTAAGCAATCTGTACTTTCATTCGCCTGCTTGGGGAGGTCTGGTGGGGGAAAGTGGTCTCTTTTCAGGCTGCTAATAAACAAAACTCAGAAAGGATGTGTTATAACGTCATTGTTACAAGCTTGATTTTATTAGTGTTTGGCCAAGGGTATAGAATGAAAGCCAGATAATAATGACTGGAAAAACTGGTAGAAGACAAATGACAAGCTGCCATCCGAGGAAGAAATTGCCCAACAATAAAACGGCCCCATATTTATCTCTCTGTTCACAATTTATACTCCACCGGTTTTAACAAAGGATTCGAGGAAGCTTGATACCATAGATGAAACTGTGTCCCAGAGGTAAGGAGCCTCGCTGATTTCTTGCTTTGTAATTATTTTTCAATTACAATACAACTACTAGGAGTTTAGGTTCCCACTGGAGTGGTACAAAACATTTCATTACTAGTAGAAACCATAGGAATGTTCCAGGGAAACAGACTATCATCATTTAGTAGGGTGGCGTCTGGCCAAAACCCCAGGCTAACATCCAGATGCCTGCAGAGCAGCTAAAATCCTTTTAAAGGGCTTAGGCTCTCCAGATACCAGTTTTAAGTCTTTTCTGGAAACTGGGAGTTTTTACTGAAGGGTAGTTAACTATTTCAAGAAACATTCATCAGAACAGGTGAGCATCTTTCCAACTGCAATGCCTTCCAAGTCCTCCGCTCCCCTTATACGTTCGGCCTGTGGCTGTCAGGCCAGTCCTGTATTTCCTGGCGACAGCTCAGCAGCAACAAAACCTCTAACTCATCCCACACTGGTGCCTTTCCTGTGGGTCAAAGTCCCCTTGGGACCTTATTCATTGGGCCCCACAGGAATGGATGGCAAGTCCAATAAGCAGGATTTCATCTTTTGCAGCTCCTGGACCTCATCATTCCAAGGGCCGTAGTGCACTAAGAGAACCTCCTCTGCCTTTTGTATTGTGTTCAGAGCTTCGGGGATTGCAAACCTGAAGCAAAGGAGGTAAGAGGAATGAATCCACTCATTCAGTCAGGCAGACGTTAACTGAGGGCCTACTCATATCCTGTGAAGAATGTAAAGTAGATTGCTTTTGTCTTCAAGGATCTTACAGTCTAGAAGGGTAGATAAGACACAAACACACTGCAAGGCAGAGTCTGAGGTAAAAGTTATGGAAAAAAATAGAAAGTATTAAGCTTCCAGAATCCTGAAAAACAGACATATCTCAAAGAACTAATCTGACATTTACTCCAAGGTTCCCTCAGAAGTCTTCATCTTGGAGAGTAGGCCTACCTGTGACCTAACTCTGCAGGCCTTTTCTCTCTCCCTGACCGAGTGGACTGCGTCTGTCTCGGGTATCAGTCCACCCACCACTCATAATCTTAGGACGGAGCTTTAAATGCTCTACCTACACCAGTGGACACCAATGGCAGCTTTATCAAGGCTAGACATATTCCATCTAGAAATACTGAAGTTAGGGCCTCCTAATGATCCCAGTTACAAAAGCAGATGAGGCACCAACTCATCAACTCTACTATTCTTTCTTTTTAACTTTTTTAAAGCAGGGTTTCTCAACCTTGACACTATTAACATGGAGTCTGGATAATTCTCATCTGCGGGGGGGCTGTCTCGTGCATTGTTTAACAGCATCTCTGGCCGCCATGCTAAGTCATGACAATCAAAAATGTCTCTAGACATTGCCAGATGTCCTCTGGAGGGCAAAATGACTCCTAGTTGATTACAACTGCTTTAAAAGGAATAGGACCAGGAAGAAGGAAGAGGCCTTGGAGTTGAGGATGCTGAGAATGAGCGCTGAGGGAGGGAGGCGTGAGTATCCGCGGAGGACTGAGAGGAACCGCTACCATGGCGGGTGGGGGGTGGCGGGGCAAGTTCTCCCTGGGGAACTCCCTTCAGAGCCAAGAGCTTCCCCCTATTTCTCAGGATGAAATTCTAAAGCTTTAAGTTGGTCAGCCAAACAGAAAGAAGGGATCTCTCCTTAAGAGGATATAAAGATGTTTTAACACACTTAAAAGCACCATAGGAAAAAAGGAATACAAAGAAGAGCCTAATAAAAGAACAGTACGTGGCCTGGCGAAGGGCTAGGAAGCAAGAGAAAGACTTACCCATTGAAAAAGATCTGGGCCAGTTTGAAGAGCTCGTGGCCCATCTCAATACTGGATGGCCCGTGGCAAGCCTCAACTACTCGGAGACTCTTCTGTAGATGGGCAGCTGACTTCTCCCAGTCCCCTGCAAAGAAAGGAAAATCTGGTTCCAGAAAAGAACCACAGTCAACTGTGGGTGACCATTTCCAGCTGAATGGGAGTGAGGGCAGCCTCAGCTCCATGACTAAGAGAGGACTAACCAGACGAGGCTAAGGTTGTGACCTAACACACAAAGCAGGCTCGCTCTGTGGGGGAGGAGAGAGAGACACGTCATACCTAAGGCAGCATAGGCCCGGGCCAGGTGGTCCTCAATTTCTCCCACCATGCTGTGCTCTGCGGACAGGAAGCTCTCAGCATCGTGCTGGCCTCTCAACAACAGCTGAATGGCTTGCTCTGTCAATTCAAAGGAAAGTGGCCTCATTACGGACACAAACCCAGTCCTAGAAATGAAAACCCAGCTCTTAAGTTCTCTATGGGCTAAGCTGAATGTGCAGACCCCATTTTGTCTTCTTGGGTTGTGACCAACCCACAATGTTTGTTTCAATAGAGCAGTTTCTCTTACGTTTTCTCTTTCCATAGAAAAAGGTGCTGGGTGAGGCCTCTCCACATTGACTCCGGGTTTCCAATTTCAATTTGAAGTGGAATGACTACATACCATTTACGGTCATTATTTCTCCTGACTCAGAAATTTAAGCTAAAGGTCAACTTTCACAAAGTAGGGTAAATAAATTTCCACAACGTCAAGCTCTAGGGTAGAGTTTTCCAGGGTAATGAGGGATTCCGTAACTCCGTTTCTGGAAAAAGCAGGATACTTATACCCACTGGGCACATGCCCCACTGCTCTTTAGAAGAAAGATGAGGCTCTGATGAGGGGAGAACAGTCTCTGTAGGAAATCAGGTCATGAGTCCCTGGAATTAAAATAAATGACACTGAACTTCTGGATACACACAAAGATCGTGGATGTCAGAGATAACCCGTTAGTCTTTAACTAACTCTCTGGTGCCTAAGAGAACAACAGCTTAAATCAACTGGCCCTTTTTCAAGGACATCACGCAAACTGAGCTGGCAAGAGTTTGGTCTCTATGGCCTACATAGCCATCTTGTGGCTGGCATGGGGATAATTCAATTCAATTCTTTAATCATCACTGAGTATCCTTGAGTTCAGGATGTGATCTCAGAATGAATAAAAGGGAAGGGGCTGGAGGACAAGTAGGGAGCCAGTCTCACCTAGTTTACCATTTCTGAGAAGCTTCCGGGCCATCCCCACTTGCTGCTGAAGGTTCTGCAGCCGAGAGACCAGGTGATCCCTGCTGACTGATTCTGTACAAGATGCGGTGCCACAGCTCAGAACATCACCTCCCTGCGGAAGTCAGTTTTGTCTTTATTCCTGTAGCAGAGTCTTCTAGCAACACTGCATGTGCTTATACTATAGGATTGCTCCAGAGCTTCTGACCCTATAGGGGAAGGAGACTCCTGCAATAACACACCGTGACCAACAGCAGACTGAATTTGGTTTGAGGGCAGCAATTCTAATGAAAGCAGGAGCCGATCCCACCCTGAGGTTTAATTTTTGCAACTCAAATTTAACTGGTACAGATCACAATTTCTATCTCGATAACCCCTGTCTTATTTCTTTGGGGCCAGGACTTTGGATGACAGACACATTTCTAGTGGTTATGAAAAAGCTGTAAGAAAACTGATAGGAAAAGGTGCTGGGTGAGGCATCCCATTTGACCTTGGATCTGCAACTACAGCTTTCCAACACAACCGGCTTTATGTTCCACTTATGGCTCCCCTAAGACACCTGCTGTTTTGCAGAGGCCAGTATCTGTGGCCTCATTACGCAACAGCAACCTCAGCAACCTGCTTTCTCCCAAGGACCCTTTCCCACCCTCCTGAGTTACTGCCCAGGCGCTGAGGGGGGAGCACGTGGCTCAGATCGCCTGTTCCTTTGGCCCAAATGGCTGGAGGGAAACTTGGTGAGTCTGATTTTCCTCCAGCCACTGGTATCGGGTTGATGAAACGCAGTAAAGTTTTTGCTCAGACCTCTGTCAGAGCAGTGCGTGTTTTTGTCCTCCTGGACTGGGAGGATTTGAGACTGGAGCTGGCACCCATCTGGCCAGCATAAGAGGAAAGTCTGTCTGAGGTTGGGCTAAATGATAGAAAAATGGAGCTGAGGGAGGTAGAAAGAAAAACTGGG